GACGCTGTACAACAGTAATTTCGGTACCCTATATGAGGCCTCATAAGTTATCTAAGGGTTATGTCTATGGAATGTCCTTGATTTGTGTGACGAGCCGAATATTGTTGAACAACGTTCAATTTTTTAGTGAGTGAGCGTAATAAAGAATAATTTTTAAGTTACTACGATTTTTTGTACGGGAATTGCTCGCATGCCGGTACTGCTTTAAAGACTTTTATAGACTTGTCGTGCTTCTCCATTACATTATAAGCGAGTAAGCGTACCTAAATACAGCACTGGGAAAATATCCAGCACTGAGAAAATTTGAGCGCGCAGTCAGCGGACATGTCATGTTTTATTTATCACAATAAGTCATGCTTTATTTTTTCATGATATTCACTAGCAGCAAATATCTCCACCCAAGCCCTCATTCACCCTACCCCGCTTGTAGGTTCATGACCTAAATACCCAGACTTGAAGATGTAAGTTAATTTTTAAATACCCAGATTGCAAAGTCAATTTTAAAGAAATCAAACATTTGTATACTTATTCCAGTGTAAATAATTATGCTCCCGAGCATATAGTAATTTAACCATTCGACTGAACAGGTTAACCATTCTTAACGACAAGTTGGATTTTTATTAAGTTCTGTCTGTAACAATGTATTCATTAGTTACACTCTAGGTACATTATCTGAACAAGTTACATAACTATGGCTCCAATTTATTCAAAGTTATTGTCCTTTGAGCACTTTAAATTTAAAGCGGCTTTATAATTACTTATCAACAAAAAGTACATGATATTGCCAAGTTATGTAACTGTGCCATTCTTTTGAAAAAAACGGGTCGTATTATAGTTCCCCTTCCCTTTGACGGGCGGTCTTGCCAGCGGGCGGACGGCGTCCTATATGTGTCCGGAGCATATTTCCTACAGGCATGGAGGAATTTTAATGAAACGTCATAGAAATGTTACACTATGAAAAGCTGTGTCGCGTACATAAACCAGGTCTCTAGGTCAAAGATCAAGGTCACACTTGGTCATTGAAAAACGCTTATCCGGAGCAACACTTCTACATGCATAAAGGGATTTCAATATAATTTGGCACAAAATTAATGTCATTAGTGGCACAAGTGTCGCGTGCAAAATTCAGGTCTCTGCAGTCAAGGTGACTAAAGATGATAAAATATAGAGATTTGTCCAGAGCATATCTCTTACAGCATTGAAGGATTCTAATGAAACTGCATTGAAATGTTCATTCCCTACCAGGTCTCTAGGTCAAAGGTCAAGGTCACACTTTGAGGTCATTGAAAAACGCTTGTCCGAAAAAAACAATGGGTGCATGCACAAATGTTCAATATAGTAAGGCAATTTCGCCAAATTGTCGCGTGCAAAATTCAGGTCCCTGCGGTCAAGGTCACAATAGGGGTCAAAGTTCAGATGAAGAGATGAAAATGTGTATTTGGACCATTTTGAAACACAAATGGTCATCATCATGACTACAGCTGTGAAACATGTGATTTATATATTTTTTTAAATATATGCAAGGTCACTAAGGATGATAAAATATAAAGACTTTGTCCAAAGCATATCGCATGCATGATTGGATTCTAACGAAACTTTAAGAATGTTCGCCACTATTAGACACAGTCCCACTTGCATGAACCAGGTCTATAGGTAAAAGGTTAAGGTCACACTTTAAAGTCATTGATAACTGCTTGTTTGGAGCAAAACGTCCTTACATTCATGTCGGTTTATTTAAAATGAACTTTTGCACAAATAATCTTTCACAATCGTGAGGCTGTTATTGCGCACATAATCCTGTCCCTGCTACCGAAAGTCAATGTCACATAGAGAGGTCAAAGTTAAGATAAAACAGAAGATGTATACAGGGATCATTTAGTCATCATTTATTGGTGGATTGTAACACAAATGATTACTATCATGACTTCAAGTGTGACACATGTAATTTAGATTAATATTTTTATAAGGTCATTACAGATGATAAAATATCCAGATATTGTCCGGATATTGCCCATAGCATTATCTCCCATATGTATATCTTAAATGCCCACATGTCTGTCAAAAGTTTTTGTGACGGGCGTATTTTGCGACAATGTTGCCCTTGTTCTCGGTTATTCCCCTTTTATCACTTTGTAAATAGAACCTTGTGTGGTTAATCTATTCTGGCAAGTTGGATTAATAATTACTTCATTTATTTATAGATATCTTTCATATTTGATAGGTGGATATCTTTAATGGTCCTCTTTTTGTGAAATAAGGGATTACTTGGGTCAAGGCCATCGTTGTAAAAAATAAATTTAACATTTTTGCTCATACAACCTTTAGTTTTAAATTGATGTCTTTCATGTTTAATACGGAGGTCCTCTTCCCTTTGGTTTAGTTAGGGGTCAATTAGATCAAGGTCAGGGTCACCAATGTCAAAAATAGATGCTTACAGGTGTAATCTTATTTTATTTGGTCCCAATTATAAATTTCTACACATTTGCATATTCAGCCTTTATTTTTCGTCTTATGTTTTTCATATTTGGAAGGAAAGAATGATAAATTGCATGGTTCTCTTTTGGAATGAATAAGGAGTAAGTTGTATCAAGGTCACCAGTGCTAACGATAGATTTTTACACTTTTGCACATACAGCCTTTATTAATGAACATATGTCTTCATATTTAGTAAAAAGTTATCTTGCCTTTCTTTGTATTTTTTCCCATGTCACATATTTACAAGAAAAATATCTAAGTTTAAGTTTGGATGAAGTTTTGGGTCACTGGGTTCAAGGTCAATGTCTTGCATTAATATAATTATTAGCTCGACTATTCGAAGAATATGAGAGCTATTGTAGTCGCCCCGGCGTCGGCGTCAGCGTCCGCGTCGGCGTCTGCGTTGGTTAAAGTTTTTTGTAAAGTCAAATATCTCAATTATTGCTTGAGATATTCAATTGAAACATACAATACTTATTTATAGTAACAAGGTACATCAGATTGACAAGTTGGATAACTCTATCTACAATATTGTTAGAATTATGCCCCTTTTTAACTTAGAAATTTTGGTTAAAGTTTTTTATAAAGACAAATATCTCAATTATTGCTTGAGATATTCAATTGAAACTTACAATACTTATTTATAGTAACAAGGTTCATCAGATTGACAAATTGGATAACTCTGCGTACAATACTGACAGAATTATGCCCCTTTGAAACTTAGAAATTTTGGGTAAAGTTTTTTTGTAAACTCAAATATCTCAATTATTGCTTGAGATATTCATTTGAAATTTACAATACTTTTTTATAGTAACAAGGTACATCATTTTGCTAAATTGCATATCTCTGTCTGCAATATTTGCAGAATTATTTGCCCCTTTGAAACTTAGAGATTTTGGTTAAAGGTTAAAGGTCTTCAAAGATATTTACTTGAAACTTTACACATGTACTTAGGGTTATAATTTGAGGGTCATAATTGTATGTCACTGACCAAGTTCCATAACTCTATCTTGCATTAAGGCTGATTCATATCCCCTTTTCTACTTAGTCTCTTGGTTAATGTTTACATGCAAGTTTTACATATCTCAATAACTATTAAAGATATTTATTTAAAACTTCACATATGCATTTTGGGTCAGAATTGTAGGTCACTGACAAAGATCCATAATTCTATCTTGCATTTAGGGTGATTTTTCTTCCTTTTTTCAACTTAAAAAATTCATGGTAAAGTTTTGCTTGTAAGCTGTTATCTCCATAACTACTTAAGGGTTTGTGCCTTTTTTGGGACAATTTTATGCATTCGTAATAATAAAGCAGTGATTTACTTGATAAAACATCTTAATAACAAGCCTTTGTACCTTTTCTGTCAATTTTATGTATTCATAGGTAATTAGTATCATTATACTCAATAAAGCACCCTTGTGACATTACCTTCCAAATAGTCAAGCCAATACTGTATAATTAGACTCTCTCTAAGACCTATAACATGAATTTATAAAAAAAAAATTAGCCCTTTTGTGAACTTAAAAAAATTAACATTATCAAGGCTCTTTTACTATCAAGCAATTAGAATAGTCGAGCGTGCTGTCCTACCGACAGCTCTTGTTAAAACTTTTGTTGGTAAATTGAATATTTTTCAACTTCATCACAAGTCATAGAAAAGACATGCCAACTTATATTTTTCACAATTACAAAACGTCATGCATCTGTCAAGTTATAAAACCGTGTTTACACTTAATTTTTTTGCGATATTTTTTCTGTCCATAACTGACACGGGGGAGAATCACGCCGTTTGTTACCCAAACAAACAAAATGACGGATGCAGCCAAAAAGTAGGTATTTCCCTTTTTTCTCTGAAATTCGTGATGTTCTAATGTAAAGGTGGTAACGTACGGCTTCTTCTCTAAAATTCACTGTTTCGTTTACATATATGAAACCACTGACTTTAAAAAAATGTAATATGTCGTCATCTAAGCACTCATGCCCATTCTGTCTAGAATAACCGCTGAAAATATTAATATCGGAGCATTTTCGGAAATGATAACGTATGGCGCACAAAATATCTATGATAACGCATTATCAAACCGGTGGAAAATTCTCTCGCTTCAAATCTGGTGACGCGCATTTCAGATGAAGTACGGGACGAAACATCATAAAATAAAATCCTTTGTGCCAGGAAAATTGTAGAGAAGGTTATTATATGTACATTTACATTAGAACATCACGAATTTCAGAGAAAAAAGGGAAATACCTACTTTTTGGTTGCATCCGCCATTTTGTTTGTTTGGGTAACGAACGGCGTGATTTTCCCCGTGACTGAGTGAATGGGTGAACCTTTTTTTTGAAAAAGAAGTCTTAACCGGGAGTCTTTGTGTTGACTGTACATGTTTTCGTTTTATGTTATTTGTTACATTGCCATGATTATCAATAGGTAACTAAGATCAAAGTTACAAAGAAAAAAACTGAACCAAAAAGTAATAAGCATTCTCTGTATAATATCTGTATTTAAATATTGATTAATTCAGGCTATAGGAGACGGAGTGATTTGTATAAAGAAACCCACGAGGTAGGATACAAAGTTCAATAAATATATTATAGTATAATGGAAAGAAATCAGGAAACTTCAGGAGATAAAACCACAACAGAATCACCAATGAGATATAAAAAGGGTGGAATTTCCAAATATGATGCAGAGAAGAGGGATAGGATAAAACACGATGATAGACATGTTATTGATCATGCTAATAAACCTTCTACAAAAACAAAAGATCATAGAAAGCAAGATACTTTAGACAAGAGGACACATAAAACAAATGATAAACCTGATTCTAGTGACGCCAGAAAACATCATTCAAGATCGAAAGATCCTGAAAAACAAGACCTTCCAGACATGAGGGTAAACAGATTTAGTGGTAGGAATCACGTAAACACTTCTACATTTTTAGTAGTTTCTGCCTTGATTTTCGATGCCATTATAGTGTTTGGAGTGTTAAGCCTTGTGTACTTGACACATTTGAGTACCTTGAAAATCCCAGATGGATATATGCTTGTGCAAAAGCACGTTACAAATACAACAAATCAAACGATAGAGCAAACTAGTATCATGACAAGTTTAACAACAGAGGCAGCGAGTAGTACAATTTCATCCGTTACAGATAAAACATTACACGCTACAGAGCAAAGCAGTATCTTGACAACTTCAAGTTTAACAACAGAGGCAGCGAGTAGTACAATTTCATCCGTTACAGATACAACATTACTAACGACAGAGCAAAGCAGTATCGTGACAACTTCAAGTTTAACAACAGAGGCAGCGAGTAGTACAATTTCATCTGTTACAGATACAACATTACACGCTACAGAGCAAACCAGTATCGTGACAACTTCAAGTTTAACAACAGAGGCAGCGAGTAGTACAACTTCATCCGTTACAGATACAACATTACTAAAGACAGAGCAAAGCAGTATCATGACAACTTCAAGTTTAACAACAGAGGCAGCGAGTAGTACAATTTCATCCGTTACAGATAAAACATTACACGCTACAGAGCAAAGCAGTATCTTGACAACTTCAAGTTTAACAACAGAGGCAGCGAGTAGCACAATTTCAAAGGCATCAGATTTAGCAAATGGGTCAACATCTTCTACATCATCAACACAAACATTAGAGGATACAAAGACAACTTATGAAAAGGTAACGACTCCATTTACAACTTCAACAACAAGTCCTTCTTCAAGCTCATCTGCACAAGAAACAACAACAAAAATACCAGGTGTGTAAAGTTAAAACAACGTGTATATACAGTACCGCATAAATGTGCAAATAACACAGGAATTGTGTAATTCTATGGCCGTTCCAAGCACCACGGAAAATAAATCAACCAATTCTGTTTTATGGTACATCAAATTGAATGAATTAGCGCATTTGACAAAGTATTGAAATATTGCTGTCCGTGGAAGTAAATCAAACTGTTTTTGTTAGAAAAAAAAGGTTTGAAGAAATTTGAAACAAATAAACTGGAAATAACAGATTAATTTTTAATGGGCAAGACTGATTTGCCAGTTTACCTGTCGGTCATATTGACAACGACATATTGGTTCCAGAAATAGTGAATATTACCAACTCAGAATTGGTTTCCCAGTGGTTTAAACTAGAAATCGCATCGCTTTCAAAGTTGATAAAATTCGCCGATGATTAACTGTTTGAAAGGTCACGAGAAGGTGACCTGCTGTTGGTGCCCGTCAGATCTCAAGCGTTAATTATGAGCTGATTTTAATTAGATTGTGCGATGCATCAGAGCAACGGTGGTTGCCTCATTAAAAGAAGCTGATTACTATCTTATCATCTTCCTTCCAGAAATACATGACACTAGTTCCAGAATTACATGACACTAGAAGTTTGACAAATATCTAAGATAAAGCAAATATGAAGAAAAATTAAGTTGAAGTTAAATTCGTTCTTGTACTTACTTATTTCGACGAAACATAAAAGTCGCCTTGAAAATGGTAGTCAGGTCGTCATTCTCACGATTGATCTTTAAAAGTAAACATATTCCAGGAATTATTTGTTATACTGTTAAAAGTATAATGTCTCTCTATACATTTCTTTTGATTGATTTACAATAAAATATTTTGGTCCGTACTTACTGACCGTATTACTCGTTTTGGCCATAGCTTTGCATGGATTCGGCGTTACTTTTACGTTATTTGCACATTCCTGAGTTACTAGATATACACGGTGTAAAATAGAAAATAGCTTCTGCATTAAATATATTTTCTTTAATTTTCAGACATTTAAAAAGGCAACGTTAAGTAATTTTCAATACAGATGTATTTTTTGTTTGTTTGTTTCCGGTTTTTTTTTCGTTGTCTGGTATTGACAGACGTTTAATTCATTGAAAAAGGAATTGTTACAGGGCCCACAAAATCATTGTCCATAAGTCCATATTGCGCAGGTTGTCCCACAGCCTGTTAGAACAAGTGATGATTTTCAAGAATATGCTATATAAATATCATACGGATATGTTAAGAAATGCTTCAGATAGAAACGGACAAGTAAGTCAAAATCGTATTGTGTCGGCCCTGTTGTTGTAAATCAGAATATTTCGCCGATATCGATGATTCTGCGAATCGAAGTGCACGGAATAATCAACATTTACTTTGGATGTTTTTTTTTTCAATTTGGAACGATAGTGGTTATATATACAGTGACTAATAACAACCACGAGGACGTGTTCGTGTTGTAACATGGCGTAGAATTATTTTCATAATACACTGCATACTTTTCATTCAAATTACCGCCCATATATGTGTTTGAATATGCAATCTACATGCATTTATTTTATTTTAGATTGTCCTGACAACTGGATTACTTACGGGCAGTCATGCTATTTGTTCAGTAACGAGTCCCTGATTTGGACAGATGCAAGGGTAAGTTAAACATAACCCATGATTTGCGTGTTTAGAAACAAAAGGGAGGTAAACATAATCAGCGGCGAAGAGGCAATGATGAGTAAACCCCAGCCAATCATTGACGTTGCTAAATGTGATGCTTTGTAAATATGACCGGTTAGAAATGTAATGATGGTATGTTAAATAACCGATTAGTTAAATGTTTAGATACAAAGAGAGGTGAACATAACCAATGATTTGTGTGTTTAGATATAAAGCGAGGTAAACATTAAGTGACGCAAATGCAACAAAAATGCCATACTCTATATCAGGTTATTTTCGTGCATGGCAATTCGCGATTCTGGCGGTAATCTGATTTTAGTGAATCTAATGTTAGCGCTTTTGTTGTACATGTTTGCGTTTTTCTTCTAACAAAGAAAGACCACTCTTTTTGTCAGATAATTTATTGTTTTCACAGAAACTCGTGAAATCCCCGTATTAATTTAAAAGAGAGTATATTTTTGTGGATATTCATTGCACAACGAAAATTATATACTCGCGAAAAGAACATGATATATGGTATATATTTTTATGCTTTTCAGTTAAATTGAAATTTTACACCACTTACAAAACGCAAATGTAAGAAATATTATTTTTAAAGGTTGTTATCCCGTTGAAATCTTCTGTTTTCAGTTAGCCTAGAAAGGGTATTAAATCACTAAATAATATTTTAAAAAAAACTTGGATATAATCATGTTTTTAATATATCAAACGCGTTCTAATATATAAAATATCTACTCAATTAATAATATCTTTATAAAACTCCGCAAAACAACAATAGTGTGTAGCTTTTATATCAATAAATCTAGTGTGTGTAGTCTTCATCGAGTTTTAATGTGTCTTTCTTGTATGAATACCATAAATAATTCATTCACAATTTCTCAAAAATATCAATAAACTTACACCCATGATCACACTGTTTTCGACAACGACAGTGTATTTACATGACATACTTGTCGAGTTTTATCAAAGAAGTCAGGTGGAAACGAAATGTGCGGACAAAGAGTATGTACAGCGTCATACTATATATCGTCACATTTTTATGCCCCCGCTATAAAATGTTACCCTGTTCCGTCATTCCTTTCTTCCGTCCTTCCATCCTTCCGTCATTCTGTCAATCCGTCATCATCAGTTTCCGTTCATTATCTTAAGAACGGTTGCACACATTCAACTAAAATTTGACATATGGATATGTCATAAGATAATACAGGTCAAGTTCGAATTTGGTCATGGTTCGATGATTTTTAGCAGAATTATGCCCCTTTTACTTTAAAAATAATATGAAATTTCAGTTTCCGTTCATTATCTCCCCAACGGTACAACACATTCAACTCAAACTTGACATATGGATATGTCATGAGGAAATACAGGTGAAGTTTGAATTTGGTCATGGTTTGATGATTTTTGGCAGAGTTATGCCCCTTTTACTTTAAAAATAATATGAAATTTCAGTTTCCGTTCATTATCTTAAGAACGGTTGCACACATTCAACTAAAATTTGACATATGGATATGTCATAAGATAATACAGGTCAAGTTCGAATTTGGTCATGGTTCGATGATTTTTAGCAGAATTATGCCCCTTTTACTTTAAAAATAATATGAAATTTCAGTTTCCGTTCATTATCTCCCCAACGGTACAACACATTCAACTCAAACTTGACATATGGATATGTCATGAGGAAATACAGGTGAAGTTTGAATTTGGTCATGGTTTGATGATTTTTGGCAGAGTTATGCCCCTTTTACTTTAAAAATAATATGAAATTTCAGTTTCCGTTCATTATCTCCCCAACGGTACAACACATTCAACTCAAACTTGACATATGGATATGTCATGAGGAAATACAGGTCAAGTTCGAATTTGGTCATGGTTCGATGATTTTTGGCAGATTTATGCCCCTTTTACTTTGAAAACAATATGAAACTTTCAGTTTCCGTTCATTATCTCCCCAAAGGTACAACACATTCAACTCAAACTTGACATATGGATGCGTCAAAGGAATGCGTAGGTCAAGTTCAAATGTGGTCATGGTTTAATGATTTTTGGCAGAGTTATGCCCCTTTCACTTTGAAAGTAATATGAAATTTTCAGTTTCCGTTTATTATCTCCCCAATGGTTCAACACATTCAACTCAAATTTGACATATGGATATGTTTTTGCAATGCCCAGGCAAAGTTCGAATTTGGTCATGGTACAATAATTTTTGGCAGAGTAATGCCTCTTTTACTTTGAAAATAATATGAAATTTACAGTTTCTGTTCATAATCTACCCAACAGTGTTACATATTCAACTTAAATTTGACATGGATATGTCAAAGGAATGGGCAGGTCAAGTTGGAATTTGGTCATGGTTTGATGATTTTTTGGCAGAGTTATGTCCCTTTCACTTTGAAAATAATATAGATACATCTTAGGAATAAGCAGTTTAAGTTTGAATTTGGTCGTGGTTCAATGATTTTAGACAAACTTCTCTTTCCTGAATGTTTGAAAAATTTTGAACTTTCAGTTTCAGCACTTATACTTTTACCCATTATTTTGGCTACAAATATGCACTATGCTATTTTTAAAAGGTTAAGACTGAATAATTTCAGTGCCTTGAACATTGTATGAAAATGGTATGTGTTAACATTGAAAAGTTTTAAGGTCTTTGAACTTAAAATGAAAAAAATAATTAATGCACCATCTGAAATTTTGGCTGCATGCGGGGCATCCGTGGCATGATGACACATTTCTAGTTTATATATCTTTTTTCTAAATCAGGTAAAAAGAAAGTACATATTTGTTACAAAAAGAAGTTTATTTGGTAATAACCAAATGTGTTTATTCCAGATCCGATGTGAAAACCTGAATGGATATCTTGTCGAAATAACGTCTGCTGATGAAGATCAGTTTCTGGTAAAACATGCAAACTTTTCCACCAGTCAAATAAATGAAGAAGGTATAGTGTTATTTCAATGCTATTTTTATTACATTGTAATAACAAAAACAAACATGATTGGTACATGTAAATAACAGCTAGGCAGTTACAGGGAGGCCTGAAGTGAAAATTAATAACATGATACGATTGTAAGTTGTACATTCCTACGCTTTCGAAGGTTTTGCTATATAAACAAAGAAGACCGGAAACATACTAGCACTTTATTACACCACAATACACTCGTCTTTAAATTCACCCCTGTAAGATTAAGGTCACAAATGAGTCAATGAATATCGACACATTTCGGGTAATGTCGCGAAAATGCTTTTTTGCCACAGGTTTCATTATGCCTATTTTAGTAAATTTTTGTCACGTGAAAGGGTGGTGGCCCACTGTGACGTCATTATTTGAGTAAATACCATTCTGGTGGCTCAATGGCCAAGGTCCTTAATTTATTTTCGAACGCTCAATTTTTTCCAGAATCTCAGAATACTCCACTAGAAATTTTATAAAAATACATTACAATTAAATTACAAAGCAGAAACATGAAAATATGCACATTTCAACAACAACAAAAAACCATAATGAACAAAGAAAATAGTTTTGCAAATGTAACTGTTTTTGCTTTTGTTGGCAATTTAATAAAGATTTCATCTCTTTGTTTGTTTAATTCGGTTTTACGTCACACCGACACAATATAGGTCATATGGCGACATTCCAGCTTTAATTGTTAAGAAAGACCTCAGGTTCCCTTCTGTGCATTTTTTCTGGCACGTACGGGTACCCGAGTACTGTTGAAGTTTATTTATTTCGGAACTGTTGTAAATATAACATGGATCAGTGCACCTCAGAGAAGGTAGGTCATGTGTATATGGATAGTATAATTATACTTATTGGCCATAGTCTTCCAAGAAAAAGTTGCAGTGTAATCGTAGCGTGCTTTCCCTTCAATCTTACTGGAGCTAAGGTTCAACATTTTTCTCAAATTGATTTTTTTTCAATGCACTGGTTCTTCATGTTTGTGTCATGCATTCATGTTGCATTCAATTCAATTGAGATTTTGTGCTACATATGGCACTATGGCTTGCAACAAAAATCATCTATTTTATTGAGAGCAAGTGAATCCTGGGCGTGTTTGGTTAAATTGTGTGTTATGGCGATGTAACAAGGACGTCGTCACACTTTCGTTGGAAACTTGTCATCGCAAATAATGTGATAATGTGCATTGCCCATCGCCACGATACTGTGTGCTGGACGTTTGGGGATACTTAAGCTTTTGATAATGTCATTTGGTGAAAATTTCGCCATTTATTTCTCAGTGGTAATCACTTAAGAGATACACGCTTGGCACCGGAGACAATGCCGCCACTGGCGCGACTGAAAGTGCCACAGAGGTTGAAGACATTATTTGAATTGCTGCATTGATTTTAATTGTAACTTATAAGTTCTTGTTATGCGTTTTCATATATGGCTTTATCCTGCCACCCCGCTGTACTTTTAAATTTTAGACTTCCCATTCTCAATCATATTTGAATCGACAGTAGAACCACCAACGTTCCGTAAGCTAGCTGGATAGCTTCCTCACATAAAAGAATCCAAAATCCCTGTCGGGATTCGCACCCACAGCGGTGAGGGGCAAGTCGGTTTGAAGTAAACGACCTTAACCACTCTGCCACAGATGCCCCATGATTGTTTTCTCTATGCATTCGTGATTACAAATTACTGATATCTGCATTTCGAATTCAAGATTTTATCTTTATGAATTCACGATGATTTTACCCGAATTCGTAAAAATGTTATTAATGATGAAATTTGATTAACCAGTTTCCATCTATGACCAAATTTAAAGGTTATATTTTTAGAATGCTTCACGACACGTGGTTACGAATACAGTGGCTTTAAAAGTACGACGGCAAACGGGATTACGTGTCAGCGATGGGATTCGCAAACACCTCACAGACATACAAACACTGATGTTAATAAATACCCCGAGAATTCTTTGGCTGATGCCGCTAACTATTGCCGGGATCCCGATCGTACAGGAAAGCCATGGTGTTACACTGTAATGTCTAGCACAAGGTGGCAATTGTGTGGCATCAACAGGTGTGAAAAAGGTATGTAGCATTTAAGCATTTCCTTTTCATTCTCTGTCATTTTCAAGATAAAAAAAAGTCAAAATAAAAATCAAATACATGTAAAAGACGAAGAGCATCCGTTCTGCGTTTATCCGAAAACACAATTACTTTATAGCGTTGTCAAATTGTTAACAAAATATACATATTAAATTGTATCAGCCTCTAAATGAAAGCTGAAGTCTTGTTTTACCTCTGTATGAAGCTGTATGACAACATTCTTGTTAAGCAGAAACAACGTACTTAGAAATATGCAAATTGTTAGGGTAGAGGACTTTTTATTTTTCGATATTTCAATTTTATGCATTCGCGGTTTCAACATATTGATTTCTGGATATTGAATTCAAGAATTCCCGATTTCATTTTCATGAATTCACGCGAAAAATAGAAATTAAGCAAATCTAAAGTTCATATTAGCTTTCATGTCAAACTCCAGATGATAAAAATATTTCAAGAAAATCAACCTTTGGGAAAATCTACTAAGATTTCAATAAAAGTAAAAATACAATCACTATTCAAAGAATATATTTCAATTATGACAATTTTTTACTTTTTGATACATTTTAAAATTGTTCATAAAAATTAGCATGAATCTGGAGGAATACTGCTTCAAAGAACATGAAGTTTTTGTGTCGCCTCTACGGAGTAGTGGCGACATATAGGAATCACTTCTCCGTCGTCTGTCTGTCCGTCTGTCTGTCTGTCGTCTGTCTGTCTGTCTGTCTGTCCGTCCGTCCGTCCGTCACAAAACTTGTCCGGACTACTCCTCATAAACTACTGGTGCAATTTCATCCAAACTTTACAGGAATGATCAGTACCAAGTCTAGTTGTGCATATTGTCAGCATTTTTCGGTTTAATGATTTTTGTCAGAGTTATGGCCCTTTAATAATTTTTATTTTTAAAGTTTGTCCGGACTACTTCTCTTATACCACTAATGCAATTTCAATGACACTTTACAGGATTGATCTGTAGCTCAAGTCCTTGCGCATATTGCACGGGTTTTTCGGTTGAATGATTTTTGGCCGAGTTATGGCCCGTTGATAAAAAGGTGTTTTTTTCTGTGTGTTGCCAGATACACAAAAGCTTGTCTGGACTACTCCTCATAAACTACTGGTGCAATTTCATCCAAACTTTACAGGAATGATCAGTACCAAGTCTAGTTGTGCTTATTGTCAGCATTTTCCGGTTCAATGATTTATGTTAGAGTTACGGCCCTTTAATAATTTTTATTTTTAAAGTTTTTCCGGACTACTTCTCTTATACCACTAATGCAGTTTCAATGAAAATTTACAGGATTGATCAGTAGCTCAAGTTGTTGTGCATATTGCACGGGTTTTCCGGTTCAATGATTTTTGGCAGAGTTATGGCCCTTTGATAAAAAGGTGTTTTTTTCTGTGTGTTGCCAGATACACAAAAGCTTGTCCGGACTACTCCTCATAAACTACTGGTGCAATTTTATCCAAACTTTACAGGAATGATCAGTACCAAGTCTAGTTGTGCACTGTCCGTCTGTCTGTCCGTCTGTCACAAAACTTGTCCCAACATGAAATTGGCCATCATGAGGCGACACATGTGATCACTGATCGCTCTTGTTCAGTCAAATTTAAGATAATTTGTTATTTAATTTTATTGGTTATTACACAAACCAGCATATGATCTGGATTTCTTGGGCCTAATATTAGTTCTTTTATTCCGATAGAGCTCTTTTGAGCCAACCAATCAAATCATCCGTTACAGATAAGCATTGAAATCAACCACTAAATTCCTCTGTTACACAGAGGCATATCAATTGTAAAATCAGACTATGCATTGATTTTGCGTTAGAAACAAACAACACATACATAGTCAAAGATAGGTGAGCTTTTGTGATCACAATTTGTCCGGCGTCCACCGTCCGTCTGCGTCCGTCGTCAACTTTTTATACAAACACCTTCTACTCAGAAACTATTGGGCCAAATGTGATGAAAATTTCCTGGGATTTTTCTAGCATGAAGCACTACTAAAATTGGGCGTGGACGGTAGTTTGCACTTTACAGTACCATCCATAAAGAGGCTCAATCAAACCGAGCCTGCAACATTTTCAATTTTGTCGTTTTGGGCTTTCTTTAGGGATTCTTATTTTCTCTATTTTATTGTTCTCGCGAAGTATCTTGAGAAGCAAACACTTTCTTGTGAGGTATAAAAAATAAACCGTATATAAAATCCTTATGCGAAAATTGATTTCTTTCAATTTCTTTCAATTTCAATTTCTTTAATCCGTTTATTTACATGTACATTGTTACTCGTTTTGGTCAAAGACTTGCACATATTGTTATTTACACATTACAGCGTTGCTTCATATACACGGTGATAACACACTGAAAAATTGACTTCCACAAGTTTAACCAACCAATATTTCTTTTAGAGCAACGCTTAATTTATAAAATTGGTTATAGACAGTAGTACAAGTAGAGAAGACAAGCCGGAAACAAATTTGTCTTTAAAAATATTTATTGATAATAGCTTAATACAGTTCTCAGAAACAAAATCGTAGATATAAATGTTGTTGAATCATTCTTCATTGCTAATATCCTTAGACATGAACAAACATGGTGCGACTTACGAGAAATTGACAGGGAAAATACAATTTTCAAGTCTTCTCGGCAAATAAATGACCGTGTCACAATCAAAACCTAACACACGAGTCTGTAATCACACACCTGAAGTAAATGCATTTCATACTTAACATATACATTTACATCTCATAGCAAACAATTAATAATGCATGTCCAACTTCTAAGTTTCTGGCACATATTGCCCTGTGATTTCCATTGTTTTGATCGAAAAAAATAATTATGATAAAACTAGCGCATTATACATATCTGAATATATTAATTTTAACGATTAGAATCATATATGCTGCATTCTTTCTTCCTTTTTAATTATGTCTAAATGTATATGTATTTTACCATTGATGACCACTCTTAATCTGAAACAGTTTAAAAAAATGTTCATACATTACTCAATAAAAAGGACTGGTCGGTTGATAGTTTGCATAGTTCTTTCTAGAGCTTTACTTCGTGTAAGATAGTTGTCTTACTTATCGGTTTTCTTTTCAGAAAACTCTGGGCCCCCGGAAATATGGTGTTTTGAGGGGTTTAGGGGAAAAGGGGTTTTCCACACTAATAAAACTTGCCCAAAGGGTTTTAACTAAGGGGGTTTTAAAAGTCTAGTCTTAGGTACTTGTGGATCACTTGTAAAGGAAATAAACTTCCAGTGGAGAAAGGGAAATTGTAATCATCGGACATTGTTTATTTGCGAAAAAGATACAACATTACAAACGACAGAGAAAAGCAGTATCATGACGACTTCAAGTTTAACAACAGAGGCAGCGAGTAGCACAACTTCCACAACAAGCTCCACACCTCCTTCTTCAAGCTCATCTGCACAAGCAACAACAACAAAAATACCAGGTGTGTAAAGTAAAAACAACGAGTATATCCAGTACCGCATAAATGTGCAAATGACGCAGGAATTGTGTAATTCTATGGCCGAACCGATCACCACGGAAAATAGATCAACTAATTTTGTTTTATGGTACATCCTGAATATTTCCATGAAAGTGTTTATGTTTCAAGGTCATCACGATCTCGCTAGCGTATTGAAGGCTTTTGTGTTTCGTCGATATCATTAAATACAATACTGTGTAATTATATTACATTATAGTTTTTGATATTCGGTGTATCTGAGACATATGCTTTACTGCTTGTGTCATACAACACTATAATTAGCAGATAATATGAGTATGAGGTAATTTTGCGAAGTAACGCCGAATTCCAATCTGACTTATGTTCATATCTACTTAAGTAATTTATTGCATGTAAATATCTGATAGCCATCGTATTTGTTTCGCCTTCATTGTGATTCGCGTGTCCTAGAGTAAGCTATTTTAGCCATGCAATCAAACCGTCCTATCCAGGCAGACATTAGACATAGTATCGAAATATTGCTGTCCGTGGAAGTAAATCAAACTGTTTTTGTTAGAAAAAAAAGGTTTGAAGAAATTTGAAACAAATAAACTGGAAATAACAGATTAATTTTTAATGGGCAAGACTGATTTGCCAGTTTACCTGTCGGTCATATTGACAATGACATATTGGTTCCAGAAAAAGTGAATATTACCAACTCAGAATTGGTTTCCCAGTGGTTTAAACTAGAAATCGCATCGCTTTCAAAGTTGATAAAATTCGCCGATGATTAACTGTTTGAAAGGTCACGAGAAGGTGACCTGCTGTTGGTGCCCGTCAGATCTCAAGCGTTAATTATGAGCTGATTTTAATTAGATTGTGCGATGCATCAGAGCAACGGTGGTTGCCTCATTAAAAGAAGCTGATTACTATCTTATCATCTTCCTTCCAGAAATACATGACACAAGTTCCAGAATTACATGACACTAGAAGTTTGACAAATATCTCAGATAAAGCAAATATGAAGAAAAATTAAGTTGAAGTTAAATTCGTTCTTGTACTTACTTATTTCGACGAAACATAAAAGTCGCCTTGAAAATGGTAGTCAGGTCGTCATTCTCACGATTGATCTTTAAAAGTAAACATATTCCAGGAATTATTTGTTATACTGTTAAAAGTATAATGTCCCTCTATACATTTCTTTTGATTGATTTACAATAAAATATTTTGGTCCGTACTTACTGACCGTATTACTCGTTTTGGCCATAGCTTTGCATGGATTCGGTGTTACTTTAACGTTATTTGCACATTCCTGAGTTACTAGATATACACGTTGTAAAATAGAAAATAGCTTCTATATCAAATATATTTTCTTTAATTTTCATACATTTAAAAAGGCAACGTTAAGTAATTTTCAATACAGATGTATTTTTTGTTTGGTTGGCTTTTTTTTCGTTCTCTGGTATTTACAGACGTTTAATTCATTAAAAAAAGTGTTACATGGCCCGCAAAACCAATGTCCATATTTCGCAGGTTGTCCCACAGCCTGTAAGAACAAGTGATATATAAATATCACACGGACAAGTTAAGAAATGCTTCAGATAGAAACGGACAAGTAAGTCAAAATCGTATTTTGCCGGCCTTGTTGTTGTAAATCAGAATAGTTTGCCGAATCTGAATAAAGTGCACGGAATTTGGAAAGATAGGGGTTATATATATATATATATATCTTATAACAACCATGTAGAATTATTTTCATAATACTCTGCGTACTTGTTATTCAAATAACCATCCATATATGTGTTTAAATATGCAATCTACATGCATTTATTTTATTTTAGATTGTCCTGACAACTGGATTACTTACGGGCAGTCATGCTATTTGTTCAGTAACGAGTCCCTGATTTGGTCAGATGCAAGAGTAAGTTAAACATAACCAATAATTTGCGTGTTTAGAAACAAAAGGGAGGTAAACATAATCAGCGGCGAAGAGGCAATGATGAGTAAACCCCAGCCAATCATTGACGTTGCTAAATGTGATGCTTTGTAAATATGACCGGTTAGAAATGTAATGATGGTATGTTAAATAACCGATTAGTTAAATGTTTAGATACAAAGAGAGGTGAACATAACCAATGATTTGTGTGTTTAGATATAAAGCGAGGTAAACATTAAGTGACGCAAATGCAACAAAAATGCCATACTCTATATCAGGTTATTTCCGTGCATGGCAATTCGCGATTCTGGCGGTAATCTGATTTTAGTGAATCTAATGTTAGCGCTTTTGTTGTACATGTTTGCGTTTTTCTTCTAACAAAGAAAGACCACTCTTTTTGTCAGATAATTTATTGTTTTCACAGAAACTCGTGAAATCCCCGTATTAATTTAAAAGAGAGTATATTTTTGTGGATATTCATTGCACAACGAAAATTATATACTCGCGAAAAGAACATGATATATGGTATATATTTTTTATGCTTTTCAGTTAAATTGAAATTTTACACCACTTACAAAACGCAAATGTAAGAAATATTATTTTTAAAGGTTGTTATCCCGTTGAAATCTTCTGTTTTCAGTTAGCCTAGAAAGGGTATTAAATCACTAAATAATATTTTAAAAAAACTTGGATATAATCATGTTTTTAATATATCAAACGCGTTCTAATATATAAAATATCTACTCAATTAATAATATCTTTATAAAACTCCGCAAAACAACAATAGTGTGTAGCTTTTATATCAATTAATCTAGTGTGTGTAGTCTTCATCGAGTTTTAATGTGTCTTTCTTGTATGAATACCATAAATAATTCATTCACAATTTTCAAAAATATCAATAAACTTACACCCATGATCACACTGCTTTCGACAACGACAGTGTATTTACATGACATACTTGTCGATTTTTATCAAAGAAGTCAGGTGCGGACAAAGAGTATGTACAGCGTCATACTATATATCGTCACATTTGTATGCCCCCGCTATAAAATGTTACCCTGTTCCGTCATTCCTTTCTTCCGTCCTTCCATCCTTCCGTCATTCTGTCAATCCGTCATCATCAGTTTCCGTTCATTATCTTAAGAACGGTTGCACACATTCAACTAAAATTTGACATGGATATGTCATAAGATAATACAGGTCAAGTTCGAATTTGGTCATGGTTCGATGATTTTTGCATGGTTCGCACTGGCCTTGAAAAGTCCTTGAATTTAGTTTCAACCTTGAAAAGTCCTTGAATTTAGGGTTGCCTTGAAAAAACACTAAAATTGTCCTTGAATTTCAGTAAACCCCCTTGAATTTCGGTAAAATGCCTTGAAAATCCAAAAGGGTATAAAACCTGTCGCTGTAAAGGTCAGGCAAATTTTCCGCTACAAAATCGGACATGTGAACGAAGGCAGCCCGATCGAGTGCGCCCATTTGGATCTGTTTTAGTAGTGTTTAGCCAGCGTTACGGTTTTGGCACGGATTTTAACAAGCACTTGTGTATGACGTCATCGCAAATTGTGTACAAAATGTCAGCTTCCATTGCGAAGTAAAAAATGGGAAAATACACTAAGAAATGTACGTTTCAGCTCAAATGGCTTCAACAATACAGTTGGGTAAAACAAGTTATACAAGACCCACAAAAAGCACAATGTACCATGTGTATGAAAACCATCGATTTGTCGCAAATGGGAGAGAGTGCATTAACATCGCATGCGAGGGGTGCAAAGCACCTAAAAAATCTAGACATCAAGTCGTCATTGACGAAGTGTGGCCTTGCATTTGTCAGACAGGAAGGAACTATAAATGTCAAAACTGAAAATTGCAGTAGATCTGATTCAAATAATAACATTGTGCCATCCCAATCCACAACGGAAACTGTGCATGACATGACAATACCACCCCCACCCACTTCTAGTAATCATTGATTTGTGACTGAATCAAACATTCTAAGAAAGGGCTTCAAAGAAAAGAAACTGGAAGTTGAGGAAATTGGAAGAGAAATCCAAAAAAGAAAGGAAAAACTAGCAGGGTTCTCAATAAGAGCCGGCCGAAATGGCCGTCTAAAAGCAATTTTTGGCCGGCTGAAATTTGTAAATTTTCAATAGAATTTGACTGTCAAACATGCTCCGTGATTATTGTTAATTTTTCAGTAGAAACACAATATATGATTGGAATAAATCTGAAAACAGACTTTAATTAGCAAATAAATCTTAATTAAACTTGCATAAAGTGAAACCGGAAGTCCAACTCAATTGCCGATTTTTCCAGCCTGCTGCAATATTGCAATGAAAAAACTTGCTAAAACTGGACACTATTCAAGGGTTTAAACTTTAAAAAATATGATTTGTTTGCTATTAAATCGTAAAATCAATTGTTGATAGTTGTCATTTACACTGATAATGCGTACTAAAATACATTCATGTGTTGTCAAAAATAGATCTGATTTCGGATGTAACTTATTCGGACATGCAATTACGGATTGGGGAAAAAATTCATAAAAGAAAAAAAGAAATGTTTTTAATTAAAATATCTTTCTTTGACTGAACTTCATACACTGATATACAATGCTTATTTATGAATAAGCAATTTTAATGCAAGTAATATAATATGAATAACAAACTTGTAATAAAAGTTTTGATACCTTAGTTATAAAAATTAAGGGCAATATACTTTGATCAAAATGACTTAAAATCTATAATTTGTTGTTCAAATCAGGGACAAAAGATATAAATCAAATGTTCCTACTCAAATCTTATACCAAACAACTAATAAATTTTTAGTGAATTGCATGTACTGAGATTTGCTGGCATAAATAGTAAAAGTTTGTTTTTGTGGCATTTGCTCTGTTCCATGTCTGACAAATTAAGTTTATAGAATTTATGACTAACACATTTAGGTCCTGTTCAAGCTTTTACCTTAAAAATGAGAATCAATTTTAGGATCAGGATCATTAATTTCAATATTTGGATCAAGTATAAACTTGCCATCGCAAACCCAACTTTATCAAATTAATATTAGATATATAATCTATGAGGATAAACAATGAAGAATATAAGTTTTTAATTTGATCCTGATCCTTAAATTTTTGTGAACACTGGGCCTGTTTTGATTTTGAAAACATAAACTGTACATTGATGTATATATGTAGATGTGAAACTGTAAGCTCTATTGAAATCTTGTTAGTGCCATGTCTGCAGCTTGACAGGCAACACATAATTTGCTTATTTTTCATTTAATAATTTAATGCCAGGTGAGTATTCACATAATTGGCAAGTCATTTTAAAATGCCAGGCTGTTCGATGAAAGCGTTAATCCCCAAAAAATGAAACAATGATCGGCATCTGGCACATGATATTTTATTATTGAATAAGAGTGATTTTTTTCAGTAATGTTTTTCTCCTGTCTGCAATTAATTCCCAACATCACTGTATTGGTCCAGTATTTTAAAATGAATTGCAGGATATGGTGTTTCATTAAGTTTAAAATAAATTAAAAAACAGTATTTAAGGCAAAACTGCACTTTTTTCCAATTAATCACACAAAATATATTTGACAACTCTCTTAATACTGGATTACTCATAATGTAACACATTTTTTTCAGAATTTAATAGTGTGAGAAACTTTATATAGTTTTTTTTCAAATTATGCCTTTACATTTGGTATTCTGTAATAGTTTTAAACTGCCAAAATATGGCCTAGAATGCAGGAAATCAAGCGCTTTATTTCAAAATTTTTCGTGGGAGCATACCCCCGGACCCCCCAAGGAGGCCTGCTAGAATACAAATTTGGCCTGCTGAGCTGAAAGTCATTGAGAACACTGAACTAGATAGAGTTGTGTGAATTTACTCAATCACCTATATGTTACAGTTTTGGTGTTCATATATTCTACTGACTGTGCTGATTTTCTAAATATAGTCACTGTTTTGCAATTCTAGTCATTTGAACCTTAAATTGAAATACACATGTTTTATTTACATGTTTTATATCACAGATATGGTTGTAAAAGTATAATTTTAAATAAGATCAATTGCAATAAAAATGTATATCACAGATATGGTTGTAAAAGTATAATTTTAAATAAGATCAATCGGGAAAAAAATGCCTTGAAAATGACAATTTTACCTTGAAAAGTCCTTGAAAAGTCCTTGAATTTTTATTTGAGAATTTGGTATGAACCATGTTTTTGGCAGAGTTATGCCCCTTTTACTTTGAAAACAATATGAAACTTTCAGTTTCCGTTCATTATCTCCCCAAAGGTACAACACATTCAACTCAAACTTGACATATGGATGCGTCAAAGGAATGCGTAGGTCAAGTTCAAATGTGGTCATGGTTTAATGATTTTTGGCAGAGTTATGCCCCTTTCACTTTAAAAATAATATGAAATTTTCAGTTTCCGTTTATTATCTCCCCAATGGTTCAACACATTCAACTCAAATTTGACATATGGATATGTTTTTGCAATGCCCAGGCAAAGTTCGAATTTGGTCATGGTACAATAATTTTTGGCTGAGTAATGCCTCTTTTACTTTGAAAATAATATGAAATTTACAGTTTCTGTTCATAACATACCCAACAGTGTTACATATTCAACTTAAATTTGACATGGATATGTCAAAGGAATGGGCAGGTCAAGTTGGAATTTGGTCATGGTTTGATGATTTTTTGGCAGAGTTATGTCCCTTTCACTTTGAAAATAATATAGATACATCTTAGGAATAAGCAGTTTAAGTTTGAATTTGGTCGTGGTTCAATGATTTTAGACAAACTTCTCTTTCCTGAATGTTTGAAAAATTTTGAACTTTCAGTTTCAGCACTTATACTTTTACCCATTATTTTGGCTACAAATATGCACTATGCTATTTTTAAAAGGTTAAGACTGAATAATTTCAGTGCCTTGAACATTGTATGAAAAGGGTATGTGTTAACATTGAAAAGTTTTAAGGTCTTTGAACTTAAAATGAAAAAAATAATTAATGCACCATCTGAAATTTTGGCTGCATGCGGGGCATCCGTGGCATGATGACACATTTCTATTTTATATATTTTTTTCTAAATCAGGTAAAAAGAAAGTACATATTTGTTACAAAAAGAAGTTTATTTGGTAATAACCAAATGTGTTTATTCCAGATCCGATGTGAAAACCTGAATGGATATCTTGTCGAAATAACGTCTGCTGATGAAGATCAGTTTCTGGTAAAACATGCAAACTTTTCCACCAGGCAAATAAATGAGAAGAAGGTATAGTGTTATTTCAATGCTATGTTTATTTACATTGTAATAGGGATGGCAACGAGAATACCAAAATCAATACTCGAGTACTCGGTCATTTTTCCGATCGAGTACTCGGTTACTCGGACGATTTCCAATGATCTTCAAGTTTATCACACAATATCAACACCCGTCCGCATGCTATTTCGTTTTCGATTTAAATTCATAGAATTCGTAACTATAGATAGACTGCAAAGGAGACAAATTAATCAAAATTAAATCAAACGACATTTTATTTGAGAACATTTTAAATAATGCAATATCAAGTTTAAAACATGTTAAACATCTTTTCTACTAATAAATATAGACTGAAATCGGCGGCAACAAAAATTTAACCGGGTCTAAATACTACTTTAATTATTATATCATAATAGCAAATACTGCCCTTGCTGTTTTGCCAAAAATGTTACCTTAAAACAAGATTCGGGTACAAACTGCGCTGTGTTACACAATTAAAGATTACTAAATATCATAAGAGGCGGAATGACGTAAAGCGACACATGTGCGCGTGTCAACTGTTGATCGCGCTAATTAAATTTATGGTATCATTTCGCACCTCTGCAAGGAAGTTGTGATTGCATTTAACAGGTATTTATAAAGGTATATGCACATCTCCGCGAATTTCTGAACTAATTGGATACAACAAACTGTCTAAATAGCAAATAAAATAGAAATTATACATTTTTTCCGAGTAATCGAATATCAGTTTTGTTAACCGATATTCGGACGTTCGATCGAGTACTCGGTTAACCGGTTACTCGTTGCCATCCCTACATTGTAAAAACAAAAACAAACATGATTGGTACATGTAAATAACAGCTAGGCAGTTACAGGGAGGCCTGAAGTGAAAATTAATAACATGATACGATTGTAAGTTGTACATTCCTACGCTTTCGAAGGTTTTGCTATATAAACAAAGAAGACCGGAAACATACTAGCACTTTATTACACCACAATAAACTCGTCTTTAAATTCACCCCTGTAAGATTAAGGTCACAAATGAGTCAATGAATATCGACACATTTCGGGTAATGTCGCGAAAATGCTTTTTTGCCACAGGTTTCATTATGCCTATTTTAGTAAATTTTTGTCACGTGAAAGGGTGGTGGCCCACTGTGACGTCATTATTTGAGTAAAAACCATTCTGGTGGCTCAATGGCCAAGGTCCTTAATTTATTTTCGAACGCTCAATTTTTTCCAGAATCTCAGAACACTCCACTAGAAATTTTATAAAAATACATTACAATTAAATTACAAAGCAGAAACATGAAAATATGCACATTTCAACAACAACAAAAAACCATAATGAACAAAGAAAATAGTTTTGCAAATGTAACTGTTTTTGCTTTTGTTGGCAACTTAATAAAGATTTCATCTCTTTGTTTGTTTAATTCGGTTTTACGTCACACCGACACAATATAGGTCATATGGCGACATTCCAGCTTTAATTGTTAAGAAAGACCTCAGGTTCCCTTCCGTGCATTTTTTCTGGCACGTACGGGTACCCGAGTACTGTTGAAGTTTATTTATTTCGGAACTGTTGTAAATATAACATGGATCAGTGCACCTCAGAGAAGGTAGGTCATGTGTATATGGATAGTATAATTATACTTATTGGCCATAGTCTTCCAAGAAAAAGTTGCAGTGTAATCGTAGCGTGCTTTCCCTTCAATCTTACTGGAGCTAAGGTTCAACATTTTTCTCAAATTGATTTTTTTTCAATGCACTGGTTCTTCATGTTTGTGTCATGCATTCATGTTGCATTCAATTCAATTGAGATTTTGTGCTACATATGGCACTATGGCTTGCAACAAAAATCATCTATTTTATTGAGAGCAAGTGAATCCTGGGCGTGTTTGGTTAAATTGTGTGTTATGGCGATGTAACAAGGACGTCGTCACACTTTCGTTGGAAACTTTTCATCGCAAATATGAAATGTATGCCATCAGATATTGTTGGACTTTGGGGAAATTTAACTTTTTTATAATGT